GGTAAGTTAAAGCTTTGTTGGTCCTTTGTAGAGCTGGAAAATGAAGGAAGGCAGGCTCAGCACTGTGAGGAGCCAGCGCTCACACTGAGGCAGCTCCCGTTTGAATTGCTCCTCAATTATCTCTGGGGAACAGGGAGGCAGATTCCCGCAGCTGATACAGCCGTGCTGCTGTCCTGACATTTCCAGCTCCCTGGTTATTGGTGAAACACATTCAAAGAGGTAGAAAATTAAACTGGAGCCCTGGTCACATGTATTGAACTTGGGATGTTAAAGCAGCGTGATAATGAAACGGTGCCGGGGTGTGTTAAAGCAGAGGTGCTGCCACACTGTGCCCCCCAGGGCTGCCCCGTGGGGGGGGTTACCCAGGTCCCACAAAAACAGGAGCCTGGACAGGACAGAAATAAAATGGTGCAAGTCAGGAGGGGCAGTGGAGAGGCTGAAGCAATTATTGTAAAGCCATTATGGAGCTATTGCAGCTTTTGCTACTCCTGCTCTCCAGAGAGAAGGGTCCTGGCAGTGATGCTGCTGCCCAGGGCATCCCTGCTGCCTCCACCCCTGCTGCCTCCACCCCTGCTGCCTCCACCCCTGCTGCCTCCACCCCTGCTGCCTCCACCCCTGCTGCCTCCACCCCTGCTGCCTCCACCCCTGCTGCCTCCACCCCTGCCCTTGGGCTCAGCCCCCAAAGCACACGCCTCCAGCCAAGGCACTTCATGCCCGATTTCTCCACAGTGAAATGTGTGGTTTTGGACCTGCACACTTTGTTTCTTTAACACTCCGAGGTGGTGCCTCCCCCCAGTGCCAGCAGGGGTGGGGGGATCAGCCGTGGGGTGACCTGAGGGATCTCCCATGATTAAATAGGAAAATAAACCCCTGGTTCTCTTCTCTGAGGAGGAGAATTATTTCCAGCGTCACAAGAAAACAAAACAGACCAAGAGGGATTATTTTCCCCAAACAAGATGCTGTTTGAAAACACCCACTTGGAGTCACACGTCATTTTTTTTTTCCTCCCTGGCTGCTGCAACTTTGCCAAGTCCAAAAATTTTGATACTGAGTTGGTCTTTGAATTCATGAGACCAGCTTAAAATTCCTGAGATTGTTTTTTTTATTTTGAAAATTCTCCTTCTTTTTGTTCAGTGCCTACTGCTGGAGCCTTAAAAGGCTTCATTTTCACAGTGTCTCTCTGACAGGAGCTAGAAACCCCTTTTTGCTCCCCCCTCCATCTCTTTTTTTCCTGATTCCCCGTGGATTGAACGAATTCTGGACCTGGGCCTTGAAGCAAACGCGAAGCATGGGGAGATTTGCAGTTGATGGTAGGAGTTGTCAGGAGCTGTTGTCAGCACAGCTTACAAGATGTGCTTGAACCATCCCCAGCAACTGTTCCTTCCCAAGCCAGCTCTCCTGACAAGACAGAAAGCACAGGGAGCCGCCTTTCCCGGCACAGACCCCAACACTGAGAGCTTTCCCCGCTGTCACTTTGAGCAGGAGAAACACCCCCGCACACACACCTGCTCCCACACAGCCTGGCTCAGCCCCAGCCCCCCCCGCTGCCTTCCACCCTCCAGGCTGGGACAGACAGAGCTCCCAGGGACCCACGGACACGCTGGGTGGGAGCAGGTGGAGTGGCCAGGGCTGGCTGCCCGTGCCAGGGCTCCCGGAGGACACAGCGGCTTTGTTTGCCCGTGCAGGGCGTGGGAGGCTCTCCCAGCTTGGCACCAGAAGGTTAAGGCTGTTTAAAAGGCCATTGTTTTCACCCTGTGTTTTTGGAAAAACAAGGGGTGAGCCAGGCAGAGGCAGGAGAGCCACCCTGGCTTCTTCTGCCTCGAGTTTGTGCTGCCGTGGCTGCACTGCCAGCCCCTGCCCTGCTCCTCCCCACACCCTGCAGTTCAGACCCCTGATTCCACAGAGCTTGTGCCACTGTCCCCATTCCCTCACACCTTTCCCTGATCCTCTGTTAGCAGGAGAGGTCTCTGCTGTGTCAGGAGCAGCAGTGATGGCAGAACCAACACACAGAGATGTTCTCCCCAAGCAGAGGCTTCTCCAGCTTTGGCCTCTCACAGCCGTCCCAGCTTCTGCTGTGACCTTGGCACTGGCCAAGGCTGATTGCCCTCCTTGCTGCAGAGCTGGACCTAAAGGCTTGCTGTGACACTCTTCAGCAACCGTGGGGCTCGTGGCCAGAATAAGAGAGAACACCCAGATATATTTGAAACCCCCCCCAAATGTGATTTGAGACTCGTCTGTGGTATCTGAGCTGGGGCTGGAGCTGGGCAGGATCTCCAGAGGCTTTTAGCCAGGCTCCCAGTGAGGTGGAACACACACATGTCCTGTTCCCAGGAGAGCTGGGCTTAGAGCTTCTCCTCCCTGGCTTTCACTGCTATCAAATGCCTGCTTAATGAGATTTATTAAATCAACTAACTTCTGTACAACGATGACAGGAATGCAGATCCCTGCTCAGTCAGGGCTTGCTGTGACTGTGCAGAGCACTCAGAGGTGAGTCACAGGAGCAGGTGGACTTGGCCAGGATCCCCAGAGGGCTGGCCCTGTCCCTGGGACCCAGGGGGCAAGACTGGCTTCATGGTGATGCCAAGAAAGTGGGCGTTTATCTGCATATAATGTTTATCTGAATATAATGATTTTTTGGAGTGAGCATGGAGGAGCATGATTTTTGCAACTCCTTCGGAGGAGTTGCAAGGTAACACCTCGTTCTGTAGCCTTACATAACAGCAAGGGGCTGCTGCTAATTGGCAGAAATATTTTAGTTTCCCACCTGGTGCTGGTTCTGTTTGCTGATGACTTTGTCTCCAGCTCAGCTGCCCATCAGTCCTGAGCCTGGGGAAGAGCCTCAGCTCCCGCAGGAGGGGGTGGCTCTTGCAGGGCCTCAGAACTGGAAGATGCTCCTCCAGGGGGTGAAGGTCAGGCTGACACCCAGCAGGTGTTTCCTAGGTGTGGGTAAGTTGTTTGGTTTGGCTTGGCTTGGCTTGGCTTGGCTCGTAGCTCCCCCTTCCAATGGCAGGAACAAATATTTCCTTAGGGTAACGACTGGAAGGATGAACATTCACTGTCTGGGCCTGAAGTGATGAGTGGTTTCCTGGTCTGTGCCCCCAGCTTGCCCTGCAGATGAAGGACTGCAATGCCCTTTAGTTCAGATAACAGGGAGCCAAACCTGTCTCTGCTCTTGACAAATGTGAACCTCCTGGTCCAGGTCCTGGGCTGAAGTGATCTCACACAGCAGCACGAAGGGATGCTTCTCAAATCAGAGTGCTGCAGCTATGTGTTTTTAACTTTCAGCCTTTTTAAACTGCTAATTGTGAAAGAAGCAGTCTGCAAGCTCCTGCTCCACCTGGGGCAGGAGGGAGGAAGGTGGGAAGATCTGACCTTTAGCCCTGAGGAATTTTTCCTGGTGTGCAGGTGCTGTGTGCTCTCTCCTAGTCAGATCCAGGGGTGGGGAACTTGAGATAAAAGTTGTTCTCAGCCTTTTCATTGTGGTGAGACACCGATAAAAGCACGGAGATGTTTGGTTTATGGTGTCAGGCCTTAAATGCAAACAGTTGAATTGGGAGGAGGCTTCATGGGTGCAGAGAGAGCTCTGAGGCAGATGCTCTGAGCTGGCAGAGAGTGAGGGACATGGTCACGTAGAACAAAGCACTGTCTCCTGGCAAAACCGAGGAGAAAGCCTAGACTGTGGGCTCACTGCTGGGTGCAAAATGGTGCTTAAAAATCACCCTGTGGAAAAGGAACGGGTTGGATGGATCTGGTTGGACAGAATGAACCACACAGATTCCCACAGGTGGTGTTTCTCCAAGTGCTATCTCTGAACTCTTCCTCCGTGAAGAAACCATCATCAATGCAAGTATTTAAATAATGTCAAAGGCTCTTTGGCCCTGAAGTGTGGGGGGGTGAGAGGAGGGCACGAGTCACAAAGAAAATAGTCCTGTTTTCCTTGTTGCCCAACCCCTCACGTTCCTCACCTTTTAAATAAAAAACTAGTATTAATAAATCTACCTGACCTTAAAAAAAAAAAACCCACCCCTTTGAGTCAGGTGACAAGGGAACGAGGTCCTCGAAGGAGAATGTCCAAAAAAACTTGGTCATGAAAAGAAAACCAATGTTGAACTAGTGAATGGGGATTGAAACAGCTCAAGCACACAGAGCTGTTCTCATTTCACAGCACAAGCAGGACCAAACCAGAGCTCCAGGGAGAGCAGTTTATCTGCCCAGAATATGCACTTGTTTTTCTCAAATGACTGGGAATTAATCCCAGAGATATTTTGATACCATGTAACTGGGAGTCCCCTGAGCTGGCACCAGAATCTATTTTTGCCAAGTCCTCTGCAGACCAGTGAGGATGTTATTGCACCACCAGTAAGGAAGACTTAGGGAGGCCTTGCTTGCTTGGAAGGTTTGTCTCCTATGCCCTCGTGCTGCTCAAGGTCTCTCTCTCACCCCAGAAAATCAGTGCAACACTAGATCTGTGGAGGGTGTGCTGCAGCCCTTTTTTCATCTGGGATGCTAATTTGAGTATTTCCTCAGCCCAACCATCTATTTTTCTTGGAATTTCTGAGTGGGTACTTGCATGCTCTAACCTGCTGTTGGACAGGACTGAAGCTGGTCAGTAATTTCCCATCTTAGCCATGGCTGCTGCCAAGCTGGGGGCTCAAAAGCACAGGAGCTCCCAGCATACACAGTTTGTCCCTCAGGGTTCCCATGAAACCCTCATTTGAGTGACACAGGGAATGGCAGTGAAGTCTCCAGGCTGCTGTGAAGGCATCTGGGGGGGTTCCTGGGGGTTGGTGCCACCTGGGGCTCCAGGATTCTGCAGGATACAGAGGAATGTGCTGATGGAGAGGGGCTCTGTGCCAGCCCAGGAACCTGGGGGTGTCTGGGGTAACCCTTCCCAACCTGACCATAGTCCCAAGTAAGCGTGGAAATGGAAACACAGTGGGAAGGATTCTAGGAAGAGCTGGAGTTTAAACCCCGTTTCTGCAAGGCTCAGAGACAGCTGATCAGAAGAAACCTGTTTATTGTGAGGCTTAGGAAAACAATTTCTATGCAAATTGCCTTTTTTTTTTTTTTTTGGCAAGTAATGGGGTCGATACAGAACTTGGAATTACAGTTTCAAGAACACAAACACACAGTATCTTCTTCAACAAACACAAAACAAACTTCTCCAGGGAACATTAAATGAACAAACGTTTCCTTAAACAAATGGGAAACAAACAAAGGGGGGTGGTGGGAGGACAAAACAAAACAACAACCCAACTCAGAAGCCAAAACCCCACTGAAGAAGCAGCAGTCACATCTTCAACTTCACACTCAGGCCGTACTTTCGCTTTGCTTTTCCTGTTCAATAGCTGGCGGGAAAACAGAGGAAACAAAACCACCATCAATAAACATTTCTGCTTATGAGCTTTGCTTTGCTAGGGAGACAGGCTGGGAGAGCTGGGGGTGTTCATCCTGGAGGAGAGAAGGTTTGGGGGAGACTTTAGAGCCCTTTCCAGAGCATAAATGAGCTCCAGGAGAGCTGGAGAGGGACTGGGGACAAGGGACGGAGCGGCAGGACACAGGGAATGGCTTCAAACTGCCAGAGAGCAGGGTTAGATTGGATATTAGGGAGAAATCGTTCCCTGGGAGGGTGAGCAGGCCCTGACACAGGTTGCCCAGAGAAGCTGTGGCTGCCCCATCCCTGGAAGTGTCCAAGGCCAGGTTGGACGGGGCTTGGAGCAACCTGGGCTAGTGGAAGGTGTCCCTGCCCATGGCAGGGGGTGGAACTGGATGATTTTTAAGCTTCCCTCTAACTCAAATCATTCTGTGACTCTGTGATAGTGGTTCTACAAGGTACAGATTTCTGCAGTCATTCTTAAAGCCAGGGAATGGTTAAATCCACGTTTGCTTTTTTTGGTGCCCCTGGAAATGCCGTCTCCTTCCCATGTCTGCATAGCTGGGAGGGGGCAGTTCCTGATGTGTAAACCCCCTTTTGTATTTACAGCTTTAGCACTGGTAAGGATAATAAAACAGGGAGATAAAAACAGGTATCATGCCAAGGGACAGTGCATCTCCATGGCCATCAGCACAGGTACCCAGAGGGGTTAGCAATGCTCCTCTGAAGGAAGCTGCCCACAAAATCTGGTCCAAATGCTCTTTCACACCTGAAGTAGCAGTGAATCCCAGCCTCATCTGGCTGCCTGTGCACAGTGTCTGGAGGGGAGAAGACCCCAAAGCTCGAGGGTACTTTGCTAAAGAAGATTTCCTGTCAGATGAGGATGATGATGATGGCGTTTCCTTGCAGACTTTTTCCCAGAGAAGGTGCCTGGAGGTCTCCTGGCCAGGGAGGCAGCAGCTCCTCTGCCTGCTAGCACATTAAATCCAGAGCCCAGGCACTCTCTGGGGATGCTGCCAGGGACGGGCAAGGGTCCCCCTGTGCCTCCAGAGGGGCTGGTGACAGGGTAATTACCAACAGATTGATCCTGTTACCAGCATCCAGCGGGGACACTGGTCTTGCTTTTAGCAGAAGCAAGAGCAATCCCATCAGAAGGGGCTTTTCAGACAAAATGCACCCTTGGTTATAATTCCTGGGATCCTTGGAAGCCCAGCATAGGCTACGAGTCTCAGTATTATCCCCACTTAGAGCCAGGGATGAGTTTGAGCCTGTAATCCCGTGATTAGTATTCATTTTGCATATGAACTGCAATACAGATTGTGTCCTTGCTACTCACAGTTCAAATAGCCTCAGAAGCACTTACTCTCTTTAGTGGGCAATGGGTTTTTCTCTCTGGTTTCTGTCTTCTTCAGCTTGGTCTTGTCAAACGTTTCGATTTCTGCAAAATCTGGTTTGTCGGACATGATGGGTCCTGACAAAGAAAGGGAAAACACACCCATGGCTTCATTAGCTAGTGCTGTGATATCAGCCATCTGCAAAGCGTTTTCTCCTCGAAAGAAAAAAAAAATGTGAAAAGACCATGGAAATGTTTATTCAAAAAAACCCCCCACCAAATCTAACACCTCCATCTGGGACCTTTCCCCTAAGGCTTGGCTCTTTCAGAGCGAAAGAGGAAAGGCATAAATAAAATTTTCTCTGTATTTCTCGGATGGAATTACTAAAAATCCTATTTTGCACACGGCAGCAAGAATATTCAGTATTGAAGAGACAGTGCATTAATTGCCAGTAATCCACAGTGCCTCCTGACGTAAACCTCTGTTTTAAGAAACACTGCTAACCAGACAATTCTGCAATAAACCCCAAATCCAACAGGAACAAAGAGCTCCAGTTATGATTTTCTTTTCAATTAATAGGATTTGTCTTTAATTCTGAGCCCCCTGTCCCGAGCTCATCCATGTCTTGAGCTGCTGTGGACACTTCAGTGTAACAATAGAGGGCTGGTTCCCTCAGCCCTTTGTTTGCTCTCGCTCCATAGCCCAGTCACAGCTCAAAGGGTTTGATTATGCTCCATTATAATAAAGAGAAATCCACAAAGCCCACCAGCATTCGACCCTTCACCTGTCAAAACTTCCCTAATCCATTTTTTTAATAAGAAATTCAGGTTTTAAAATCCAGCCTGGGCGTTATTCCCCTCGTTTCAGTAGAGTTTTCCCGTCAAGGCGAGGCTTGGCCCGGAGATGGCTGATATAATTATATTTCTTTTCCCTTCCTGCAGAAAATCAGATTTCATTGCTATCTGCACCGAGACAACAGAAGTAAATATTCACAAGGAAAATAAAAAAAATACAAAAATGCAAAAAAAAAAAAAAAAAGGAAAAAAAAGACAAGCTACTAAAACCACATGGCATTACCGTCTGGCTGCTCTCTCCTCAGCTGCTTGGTGGCCGTCTGAGGCAGTGTGAGTTGAAAAAGGTCAGGGTAATCCCTCCTCTCCTCTCCCCTCCTCCCCCCTCCCGAGCCCATCGCTATTAATATTGATTAGTTCAGAGCTGGGATTGCTCAGCGTTCAGGGAAAGGACAGATTGCTCCTGCAGAAAGTGCACGAGGGAGGGAAATGGGAAAACTGGCATGGAAAACTGCCAAAGTACATCTTGATTTTTCCTTTTTTTTTTTTTTTTTTTTTTTTCCTTTTCTCCATGGCAGTCACATTGAAGTTTCCCTTCCTGGCCTGTTCCAACACTGAGGTTTGGAGCAAAGGTGAGGCTGGGGGGGGGGGCTGCTGCTGCTGCCAGGTTAGATTTTGGGGAGATTTTAGGTGCATTCAGCAACGTGCCTGGGGTTCAGCCCTGTCTGCACAAGCTCACAGGAGCTTGGGGCTGGTCTAAGCACAGCCATGGTGTCATTGCCAGGATCAAGGGCCAGATCTGAGATTAGCAGGGCCTGAGCACCACAGTGACACCCGGGAATGTGACCTGGAAGGAGGGACAATGGATCTTCCATTCACTCCAGTTTTTGTAGCAACCAACCAACCCACTTGCTGCTGCCAAAAGGGAGTCAAGTAAGTTGGGATGAAATTATTTGTACCCTGGTTCTCTCTAGTGACTGTAGGGCAGGGAATGGGCTCAGGGAGACAGAGATGTCTCTCAGCTGACTGAGAAACCCCCGTGGATCTTCCTGTTGGCATTAACAGGCTCAGGTAGAGTGGGTTTGAGTCTGCTATATGGGCATGGAGAAAATGGTTTGAATGTGTTTAAATGTGTCTTGAGGATCTCTTCTTTGTTTAAATTATGATAATGGCCAGCTTTGTGGTCGGGCTAGATGATCTTAGAGGTCTTTCCCAACCCAAATGATTTGTGCAGGCTGGCTCAGTTACCTCTGCATCTGCACTGACTGTCCCCACAAAATCACTGTGTGTGTGTGCACCATATTTAATGTTCCTGTGCTTCCCTCCCACATATCCAACCAGCTATTTCTATTCACAAATAGAAAGCTGTGCTCTTGACTGAAAGCCCCTGGGAATAGGCAGGAAGGGGGACACTGGGTGAATACTGGTGGAAGCTGTAGCTGGGATTTGGCACTGAACAGTCCTAGTGTCTGTATACAGAGAAAGCATTAACCTCTTGTTAGGCTGCACATGAGATTTAGAAGATCAGAAAAGACCTGAAAACATAATCTGAGGGATTCATCAATCCAGGCAGTTCATGAGTTTCAGGTTTTTTAATGCTTGTCCATTTTTACAAATCACAAATTCTGATTATGAAGAGAGACTGCAAGGGCAAAACCTCTTAAACTTTTAGACTGGCACAAGTTCTCAGAGTTGTAGAAGGCAAACAAAATGTTACAGCAAAGCAGAAGAACCTCACTTCTGGCTTTGTGTGTCCAGTCATGGGCTCAGGCCCAGGACCCACAGCAGAGCTCAGGCTCTTCTAAACATGCTAAGACAGGGCGAGCACGCTTGTTTTCCACCACCACCACTTTAATTGCCCAATTTATTGGCAAAGCTGGTATTAAAAACAGTTTGGGATACATTGTTTGGGGTTTTAGGCTGAAGATGACCAGGTTTTTAATTGATATTGGGTTGGGTTTGTGAGGAAGGTGCAGCAGTGTTAAGCCAAATAACATAATGATGAGAAATTACATGTTCTCACTCTGTTGAAATCAGGAGATATTCATCTCTGTAACAAATGTCTCGACCACTGCAGAAAGTGCCTCTCAAGTTTCTGTAGCTTTTAAGTTGGGTCCTGTGGTCAAACACAGCTCATGTGGGATTCCAACCTCATGTTTACATTCTCTGTGCAGCACAGGCAGCTGGGTGCAGTTTACATATGGAAAGTTTGGAATTTGGCCTGAGGGCACTGGATGCTGCATGGAGGCTCATGACAGGAGGGAAAGATGGGTAGGCTTTAAGATATTACTTAGATACCTTTTCCTTTCACTGGGAATGGAAATATTCTTGCTGTATGAGCAGCAAAACAGTTATTTGTTGGGTTTTTAATGGCAGGATTTTGGAGTCACCACCGTCAGCAAGGGGAATGTGGCATTTCCCTGGCCTGGGGATGACTGTGGTTGCAATAAATCTCAACTCTCTTTGTGGGGCACCAGGAAAAACCAGGAAGCCAGTGGAGCCTGCAAACTATGGGATCTTTCCACAGGCTCTACACATAAAGCATGTAAAACTGTACTGGTACGGCTGTGCCTGAAAAGCTGCCTCATACAATGGAAACCGCATTTTAGTTCAATCTGCTGCCAGGAGATGAAGGGCTGAGTCAAAGTGACACCTCTGATACCAGTGAGTCACCTGCCATTGACAGCATCAAACCATGCCTGGCAGCACAAGCCACTGAGTGTCTGTCAGACACCCACAGAGAAACCGGGGAAAACAAACACTCGCTACCAGGATTCGGTGATAGGTGAGAGGAACCCTTTAAAAGGAGCTCAAGTGCAAAGCCTGGGGAGCGAGGCTGGGACTCTTGGAACCTGCTGCCACTTGGCCTTTTCCCCTGGCTGCTGCCCCTGGGGAGCAGCGTGGCCAGTCCATGTGGGGCTGGGGCTGCAGGGACATCAGTGGATATGTTATAGATCCCAGGGCTGGAGCCTGTGCCGGGCTGGGGGATGCTGTGCTCATGTTTGGCACAAGAGGTGCTCTGGAAATGCCAAGTCTCATGGAGACGAGATGGGCAACTGCCAGAAAGAGGGGGTTTCTTTCTCCTCGGTGCAACAGTGGGAGTCAAATCATACCCATTTCCACGGGGAGCCGAGGAGGGACAAAGCACCCCAAGGAGCAGCCAGTGAGAGGAACAGACGCTTGAGCAGATCAGTGCCTGTAGCTGAGCCAATAAGCTGACACAACTGATTTTATAATCACATTAGTGCTGTCTCGAAATAACACACCCACTCCAACATAACAGCGATTTCATTTCCAAAATGTTGTGGTATTTTTGGTGCTAAAGGTAGGGGATTAATTTTTCAAGGTCAAAAGCCGGGCTGGAATCTGCACGTGGCCTAAATCCTTTGGGTCCCTGTGAGCACCTCCCAGGCAGGTAGCAGGATTGCAGGGGCTATGAGCTGTCCTTAGAAGGTTTCCCGTCCTTAGGGGGACAGGAAAAAAAAAAAAGAAAAAAAAAAAAAGACTACAGCTCCACTGAAAGGGTTTTCTTAGTCCTCTTTGTGCCTTTTGTTCCGTCTTGCTGCCAAAAAAAATATCCATGTTTGGGAACGGAGACAGGTTCCCAGGCTAAGAGACAATGAATCCTGGGGGTGTAAGGAAGGCACTGATCCCTCTTTGGCAGCCTCTCTGCTCTTGGGCTGCACTGTTAGTGAGTAAATACTCCATACTTGTCTTACACTGTGTGTTTTATCATTACCTGAGGTGTTTCAGTTTCCTTATCAAGACCATTGTACCTTCAG